CAGCTATTGTTTGCAGCTGCTTTGTGGGAGCAGAAAGCTCCTTTGGATTTTCCCCTTTCACAAGTTGGAAGCTTAGCTGAGTGAAGTCTTGCCCTGATAGAGCCCTACCTTCAGCAGTGCTGAGCAGGGGGACTCTCTTAATGGTGCTAATATTATATCTTTCTGCACAAGCCTGAGCTGTAACATTAAGCTTTCCAGTGTCTGTTTCCTCTACAAGTTGTAAACTTTGAATTTCTTTCTGCCATATTGTTCTTTCTTTCATTGTAGACTTGCATATGAGTGACTGCTGATAACCACAAACAGATTCAACACTAACTATCTTGAAATATACTCTCCTGAAGAAATTCACCCATTGTTTTATAATTTAGCCTTAGGCAAGTTCTTAGGACAAGGGCATAAAACAGCCATATTCTTTGCCAAAATTTCACAGAAATTGTTTTGAATCTAGTTACTAAAATTGTTATCCCTTGAAACCTCTTAAGCTGGGCTTCCACAGCTCTAAATAGTACTGTCTTCCAATCTGCTTCTAGGATGGGTCCTTAAACTCCACTCACAGTATTCAATTGCTTTTCTAGTTGCAAATTTCCAAAGTCTTCTACATTCTTCCAAAATAAATCAAAACAGAAACAAAGCATAGCAGGGTCTGTATTAATAACTCTTTTATTGCCATGATAAAACACCATAACTAAGGCAAGATGTAGAATATTTTATTTAGTCTTACAGTTCCAGAGGGCTAGAGTTTATGATGGTGGAACAGAGGTAACAAGGGCAGGCATGGAGACAGGAAGAGCAGCTGAGAGCTCACATATTGAATTACAAGAACAAAGCAGAGAGAATAAACTAGAAAGGTTTGAATCTTTAAATTATCAAATTCTGACCCCCAGTAACTCACTCTAGAATAGCCACACCTACCTACCAACTGAAGGCCAAGTATTCAACACCTGAAACTGTGGACAATACTTTCAAACCATGACAGCCTGTGTTATTATTATAGCTTGCTGTGGATATCTTTCTGTATGCTGTGAATATGTGTTGCTCTGATTGTTTGATAAATAAAGCCATTTGGCCTATGGCAAGGCAGCTTACAGGCAGGCAGGAATTTCAAAGAGACAGAAAGAAGGAGAGGAGGGACACCAGCGAGCTGCCCAAGGAGCAACATGTAATGGGACACAGGTAAAGCCATGGAACATGTGACAATACATAGATTAATAGTTATGGGCTAATTTAAGATATAAAAGCTAGCTAGCAAAAGGTTTGAGCCATGGCCAAACAGTTATAATTAATATAAGCCTCTGTGTGTTTACTTGGGGGACATGAGTGGGAGAGATTTGTCCCAACCACCAGCAGGCCAGTACACAAAAGAAAAAAATCTTCCAGCTACAATAGCTAATACCTTATATTCTGTATTCAATGTGAATAAACAGAATGAAAATCTTATATTTTTTTCTTGTTTGGGCAGAACTAAAAGGGTTTTTTCCCCCATTTAACATTTTTTAAAAAAACTTTTTGTTTGTTTCTTGTGTGTGTGTGTGTGTGTGTGTGTGTGTCTGTGTGTGTGTGTGTGTGTGTGTGTGTGTATACAGGCACACTATAGCATACATGTGGAATTTAGAGGATAACTTACAGAAACTGGTTTTCTCCCTTCATCATGTGGAATCTGGGGATCAATCAAGCTCAGGTTGTTAGCTTGCCTGCAAGAACCCTTACCCACTGTACTACCTCATGGATCCCTCCTATCACTTCCTAAAATGTGATGCAACCATAAATGCAGATATTAAAACTATAAAATACATGATATAACAAAGGGACATATCTAAGTAAGATGAGTATTAAAATGGATAATTTGAGGTAACAAAAATATATAATAGGAAAATCTTTGAAATGCAATTTTATTAAAAATAACCATAAACTAAGATATGTCATACCAAATTATGTTCTCAAGTAAGTTAAAAATCAACATATGAATGGGAAATCATACATGTGTGAAAGTTTTGTTGTCTCTGCTATTCAAGGCATTTTTACAACTAATCTGAAAAAGAAATGCAAGCATTCCAGTAAAAATGGGCAGAGCATGTAGATGGACTTTCACATACGAAGATAGACAAACTACCAAGAAACCCTTAGGTTGCTATAATTTAAAAATAATTGGAACAAGAAAGACGTGGAGAAATGAGGACTCTCAAAATGGCTCCAACCAACGTAAATGCCAACATATAATTCTTTACCAAGTTCAGAATGTCAAAGTTCGTCAAAACTTTAACAGATTTACCATCTCAACATTGTATTATTAAAGTTATAAATAATTGTAAAATTAAAATATTAAAAATAACTTTGCTCTAGTTACATAATAGACTGCTGTTGTTAAGACCAAATTGCCTGAAAGAACAAACCAAAGTGAAGAACATTTTACTTTAGCCTCAGGTTGCACAGGTTTGATTTTGTGGCTGCTCAGCACTGAGTACACAGGCAGAGAGAGCATCACAGGAGGAGGAGAAAGGAACTAGGAACTAGAAAGAAGTTCCCAAGAACATACCACCTATGACCCACTTCTCAGAATAGACCCTGCCTCCTGTTTATCCCTCCCTTCTTCAAATATTGTCACTTTATGAATCCATCAATGAATTAATAAATTGATTATGTTTTATCCTTCAGGATTCACTCAGTTTGAAAATGTCTGTCAGCTAATAACCAAGATTCCAACATGTAGCTGGGCAGTGGTGGCCCACGCCTTTAATTCCAGCACTAGGGAGGCAGAGGCAGGTGGATCTCTGTGAGTTTGAGGCCAGCCTGGGCTACAGAGTAGTTCCGGGAAAGGCGCAAAGCTACACAGAGAAACCTTGTCTCAACCCCCCTCCCTCCCCAAAAAAAAGATTCCAACATGTGAGTTTATAGATGGAACATTTGTTATTCAAATTTTAGCAGTATATATTTAAAACACTTAGAACATTCATTCAAAAATGCTTGCATGCTTATATTCTTAACACAGCAATCATAATCAAAAGGGAAAAAATGGCTGCCATAATTAGTAATGAACTACATGATGTTTGCTTGAAATAGAAATGAGCAGGCTGTGAAGAATTACAAAAGTAGATGAACATCCAGGGTATTATGCCTGATTATCAGGAATGCATAATCTCAGAGGCAGAAAGACACTGGATGTCTAGGGCTGAAGAAAGGAAAATGGACATTTGTTATACACCTAGTGTAATAGGTTAAAGGTATCTCCATCTTGTGTCGGATGAATCTGTATTTAGTTTCTATCCCCTACCCTGGGAAGTCCCCTGTGAAAGCACCCAATCCTATTCTAGAAACTAAGGGTTGAAATGCTCCAGATAACTGCATATTCTTGGTTCTTGTTAGACTGCTTGCATGCTTCCTCTGCAACTGCAAAGCAGCATGCAGTTTCTTTGTTATCTTTCAAAGCTCCCTGTAATGTGTATTCAGAGCTGCTCTATGAGAACCGCTTCTCTCCAGGCTCCTCCAGCCACCTTCATACAGAAACTCTGTATTAAACTTCGGTCCTTCTGAATGGTTGGCTCTGGGTTTTACCCATAACACCTAGTCTGTTCTAAGAAAGGGATTGCATAACATTGTGGATGCAGGTAATGTCACTGACTTGCTTTTTGAAGTGGTTAATCTTATGTTAAATTTAGTTCACTGCTAAGAAGATATGGAACACTGTTTAAGAAGGTATGGTGATCTGGCATTGTCCCTCAGTTGATAGTTTAAACCTGATTTGGAGGCAGATGTAAATTTAATATTTCTCCCATTCAGGTTGATTTAACTGAGGTATGCATATAGCAAAAGATGCAACGTGCTGGGGGCCTTTCACTACCTCTGGTTAGTACTTCTGCTCACATGCCTCACAATTCCATTTGTTTAAATGCTCCCAATTTTCTTTTTTTCAAGACTTATCTTATTTATTTAAGATTTATTTTTATTTTATGTGGACTAGTATCTTGCCTGTCTGTGTGAGGGTGTCAGATGCCCTAGAACTGGAGTTACAGACAGTCAGCTGTGGTTGCTGGGAACCGAACCTGGGTCCTCTGGAAGAGAAGCCAGTGCTCTTAACCACTGAGCCATCTCTCCAGCCCGTGTGTTCTCAATTCTTAGGTATAATCAATCCTTTGCTGCCATCTCAGGTTGATACTATCAGGCTTGGCTCTGGGAAGGTTGATGTCCAACCAAACCCTCTGTCTTTCACTGTTATCAAGGGTCCTTCTAGCACCGTCGATGCAGAAGAAAGACAGGGTTTAGAGGAGGACCACCTGCTTGTCGTGGTAGGAAGTGGCAAACAATGAACAAAGACCAGCTGCAGGCCGTTCATACTCTTTCTGCTTGCTCTGCCACTGTGCTGCGCCCTTTGCTGTGCTGACCAGCAAACTCACAATAAAGAAAAGGCCACCTTGGTTAACCGCTAAGGACAGCACATCTTTGAAATCAGGGCTTCACCTGGTAAACGTCTCTGCATCCTTTGTAGGAGGCTCCTATGCAGGGAAGGGAGCAGGGCCCCTGCTTCTCTCCAGTTCCTAGGTAAGACAGTCCTGAGTGACCTGTGTGGAGACAGTAGGGGGCGCTGCATACCTGTCCCTTTGGAAATCAGCCTTCCACTCCTCTGGTAAAAGCTAATGCTCAGGGTCCAGAATAAATCTGTAATCTCAACTCTTTCTGCCCAGCTCCCCCAAAAGAAGACTCAGAAACTGAGGTGAGAGGCCTTCTAGTGGAAGACATGATTTGCATGGGAGGTCCCTCTGTCCTATTTATGGGAAAGTGGGTACACAGACACTAAATGATCTTTGCTGCAGCATTAGGTCCTCAGGAACCAACAGTCCACAAATCTCCACGATGACTGGGGTCTCCCTCCTTCTCACTGTCCTTACTCTCTGCTCAGGTGACTGCTTGTAAAAAGCAATAGGGATTAAGGAGTTACTAGAAATATAAACTTTCTTTCTATTTAAGAGCAAACTAACCCTGCTGTGTCTCCATCTCCTTTATTACAGGGTCCTGGGCACAGTCTGGGCTGAGTCAGGAAGCCTTCATGTCTGGTTCTATTGGACAAGAAGTCACCCTCATCTGTACTGGAAGTGGTGGTGATGTTGGACTATATGATGCATCCTGGCACAAAGAAATTCCTGGTGATGTACCCAAATTTGTGACAATTGGCTATTCCCGGCCCTTTAGCAATACATACTACCTAACTATGACAGACCTCAAGCCTGAAGATGAGGCCAGTTATTACTGTTCAACATGGGACAGTAGCACAAATGCTCACACAGTGCTCCAGATGCATGGGGAACTGAGACTAAAACATTCCCCTGACCTTCACTAGCCTACTCAGGCCATGGCAATCTAGCAGTTAAAGTGGACGACTGTGAGGACCAGTGTCCCTGTTATTACATCAGATTGTCAGAGGACAGATCATCCTTATGTGATAGCGACAGTTGGCAATCTTCATGAGGTTGGATCTTAACTTCTTTATTGACATATACTATCCAAGAGACCAACTGTTGCCAAAGGTGCAGTAAAATTCTTCTTTTCATATTTCTATAGTGTTGCAAATTTCACATAACAAACTAAGAATATAATACCTTGAAAAGAAACAATTATTAATTAGAAGGACAGCAGGTTATTGTAATTTTGGCTTGCAACTACACTTTTTGTTTTTGTTTTTTGCATCGCTTTTGGTATTTTTAGGAAATTGTCTACTAGTTTGCTGTTTTGGACACTTCGCAGACATAATTTTGTACTATCAGGTAATTATTATCTTTAACTTGAACTGTATGGATACACTACTGGTGGCCCACCTTTAACCGGGTTAGAGGTATTTGGTTTGAATTTTTTTGTATTTATAAGCATTTTTATTATAGATGTCAATCTACAATTTTCAAGTGCTTCTGTGGACATACCCTTTGGGGACAGATAACCAGGACCAGAATTTCTAGGAAATACTGTGACTATTTGTGGAAATTTCTCCTTTTTAAAGTGGATGAATAAATTCACAGGTTTGTGAGCAAGGTATGCTGACCCACATTTTCTACATTTTCACACTAGTATTCAAATTCCAAGCATTTCTATGGGCATGTATTTCCAAGTATCTTCAGTAGATAACTAGAATATCAATATCATCATTCTTTGGAGGAAATGCCTCACTCCATTGCTAAGTTGCTGTGCCAGTTAATAGTTCCATGAGAAGAAGAGGTTCATGATTTCTCCATGTTATCACTGACCTCACTGCTGTCTGCCATTTTGACTTTAACCTCTTTACTGTTAATGAAATGCCATTTCGTTATATATTCAATTGTATTCAATGGATTGATGACACTTGCATTCTCTGAATCACTGTAATTTATCTAATCCATTATAAACAAATCAAAGTATAAGTTAATTCCATGAATCATTGACTCCAGGACTCTTGACTTGTTATTGCTAATGCCACTGAGTATATTTTCAGTTGTACAAAGCAGATAGGAACAACTACTTCAGATAATTGTTGTTGGAATGAAGCCATCTCTCCAAGCATAATCAGAAGACATAACAATTCTGTGTGGTTTGAGTGTTTCAAGAGCTGAGGCCTCACTCATCTTTACATAGCTCTAAGTTCTCCTCTTGAGATGGTTACTAAGCAGGGGCATAAAAACAAGGTGGGCATGTGTCTCCTGAGGCTTCACCATCTGTTGCTTCCCTGGGAGGGTAAGTTGGGGTAAATATTTGACTCCTACCCTGTCTCCTTCATGCACTATGCAATCTTTATTAATAACACAGAGCCTGAATACATGCACATGGAAATTAAATGTCTTCATCTACAATGAGATGGATCCAGAAACATCTAGAGATATAGCATATTGGTAGATAAGATGTTCTAATGTCACATGCCAAAAAAAGGTGTGTTTATTGACTAGACTAATAAAATAAATGTACTTCAATATATGTTACTAAGAATGTAGCTAATTTGATTTTTTTCTAGTAATAACATGGAAAAATGGTAAATTCTAGTGTACCTTAGAAACAAATAGAATGCCAGGCAGTGGTGGTGCATGCCTTTAATCCCAGCACTTGGGAGGCAGGGCCAGGCAGATCTCCGTGAGTTTGAGGCCAGTCTGGTCTACAGAGTGAGATCCAGGACAGGCACCAAAACTACACAGAGAAACCCTGTCTTGAAAAAACAACTCCTCAAACCCCCCCGCAAAGGGAAAGAAATAGAAAAGTGAACATACACTATGATATATTGAAAAGAATTAAAAATATTACTGTAAATAGCTGTTGAAATAAAAAATTTATTGACAATTCAGAGGCATGCAAAGGTTTAAAATAGGCTTATGAGGGATGCCAGGTGTGATGTGGCATTTAGACAAAACAGTGTCAAAGAAAAGTATAAATCACCATGCAATGTTTACTTCTGTATTTTAAAATGTAAATTTCAGAATGTTATATGCAGAAACTCTTATTTAGGAAGAATTAATGTTATGAAGTTGGAATAGCATAGAGTGGATTTAGCCACTTATTTCTGATCACAAGAAAACTGGACAATATCACTTGATAGATATAAAAAGCACTGCCATCCTTAAGGCTCAGGAAACATTGCAAAAAAAAAAGAGGCAGAAAGATTGTAAGAGCCAGAATAAAAGGGAGTTTGCTGTGAGATTGTGTCTCCTACTAATATCAGAAGCTACACCCACAGAGTCTCACCAACATGATCACCTAGACATGGTTTGAACTAGGATGACACCAGTGAACATGCCAAGCCGGACTGGAAAAAGTCCACAAGTTCATCCTGCACAGACAACTACAGGCCATCAAGGAGAGCTGGCAGTGGGAGAGGTGGTCCTCCTCAGGGAAGAGCACACTGACTGGTTATCATGGTCAGCCACTATAACATGCAAACAAGTAACATTATATACATTAAACAGTGAATACTTCGGAATATATACATGTATAGTAGGTCTTGAGGGAGTAATGGACAGAGAGAAATGTTACTGAACTATAACCTCAAATAGAAAAAAAGTCAAATCTCAGAAAAGAGACAGTGCAGGGTTTGGATGCTGAGCAGAGCATGTAGTTGCCTTTGCTCAGGGTGCTTCTTGCATGGAGCAAGTTACGAGTAGAGCTTACTAACTCCCCAAGACTTAGCAAACAGAGCCAGAGGTAGTGAGCCTGAGGCTTCCATGACAAACACACAGTAGATCTGGAGAAGACGAATGGATGAAAAAATGTTGACACTTCTGTAAGCTGTCTTCCCATGTCTTTGAAGAATGTCAAAATCTCTGTGTGGAGAATACAATCCTATTATTTAAAAATAGGGCAGCCAGGATATGTGGGATGATCAGTTTTTACTTTTCACAGAATGGTGAGAAATATTACAATTCTTATCCATTATCAAAATAGTACAGTTTATTTTTTCAATCATTTCAATATACACCAGCACTATATTGAAGATGAGAAGACAACACAATTTTGCAGAAGATTTAGAGATATATTGCAGGGAACTCACTCAGTTGTCATAATTTTTTTGTCAATTTGACACAATCTAGAGTTATCTGGGAAGATGAACCTCAAGTGGGAAAATGACCTTGTCAGATTGACCTATTGTTAAACTTGTGGAGCATTTTATTGGTTAATGATTGATGTTGAAGAGTCCACTGTGGGTGGTGCTTCCCTGGGGCAGTTGGACCTGGAGTGTATTGGAAAGCATTCTGAGAAATCTAGTAAGCAGCACTCCTCCATAGCCTCTGTATAAGTTACTACCTCCAGATTCATGTCTTGAGCCTGTCCTGACTTCCCTCAGTGTGAGACTGTGCCCTGAGAGTTGTATGAAGAAATAAACCCTTTACTTCCCAGATTGCTTTTGGTCATGGTGTTTTCTCACAGCAATAGAAACCTAAGACATGTGATGAAGCTAATTAAAATATGTCACAAGGTTCTTAGCTGATTGACAAGCTTGTACAGTTATAGCAGCTATTGGAGGAAGTGAAAACCCTCAGTTGCCTCTTTCAAAAATGAGTGGATGTCAGGGTGTTAGATGGTGAAGCAGAACATGGCATACCCCATTCTTAACGCTGCTTGACATTGGATCCTACGCTTAGAGCTGTGGCTTTAACATTGTCAACCCAAAGGACTCTAAGCCAGGCTTTGAATGGACAACTTTTAAATAAATCCTAGATGTAAGGACTGGTGGATGTAGAGTTTAAAATCATATATGACATGGACATATATGACAACAATTAAAATAATGATTGGGTGGTTTGAAGAGAAATTTAAAAGCAGAGAAAGATAATATTTTTTTAAAAAACCATGCTAGTTAAAATAGCACACTAATATTTTCTCTTAATATCTTAATTACAACAATATTAGTATAGAGAGAAAAAACAAAGTTTTGAGTAGCAAAATAGAAAATTCTAGTTCATAAGCATAAATTGATGAGAAAGAGGTAATTGAGGCTAAATGCAAAATTGTCTCTGGATATTTCTTGGGGTAATTTCTCTGGACTTTCTTGGGCTCATATGTCAAGGTTACCTTGATGCTTCCATCAGGTAATGTTAGATAGCTCTTCCTGGCCACATATGAGGTTGTGGTATGACTGAGTCTGAGCTGACCTTGTGTTCAGGGACACTGCAGCATGAGTCTGAGATTCTTCTGGAGACTCCTGTGCAAATTTCTAAGAGCTGCAACCTTTACCAACTTCCCTGGTTTCACACTCAGGGCAAGCCACTCTCTCACCCTCCTGTGTCCTCAAGGCCTCTCTCTGATTCAGAATCTGTAATCAGCAGGGTCTGAAAGAACCACAAAGGGAAAAGGCAACTTTGAATAAACACATGCCCCCCCTCTTCAGAAGGGAGGAACTAATACCCTGGGGGCAAGCAGCTGCATGGAGGGAATGAGAGAGGTGTACCCACCATGGCTGTACTTCTCTACTGATCCTTCTTGCTAACTCTACAGGTAGAGATTGGCCTAGAAGACCAGACTGATATCCAGCCTGCCTTAGAGTCTTTGGTTCAAATAGTAAACAGTGTCTACTCATTGTGCCCATCACCACTCTGTGTCTGTTTGTTGGATCCTTCAATTACCCAATTGCTATTCAACAACTAACTTGTTCTTCATCTCTGTGAGCATCTTCCAGACTCATGGGTACCTTGAAGCAGTGGTTTCATTGTCTGTTTCAATGGTCTATCCTACTACCAACTGAAGTCAGGAGGCCTCCTCATGTATGAAAAATGCAAATGCACAATTAGAATAGGGAGTCCCCTTCCATCACTTGGGATACAAGGATGCTTCTTGTGGTTAAGGTGTGGTTGACTTTTTGTTGTAATATATGGGTTCAAAAACAAATACATA